TGGAGTGGGCCACGGCAGACATGACATTCGCCCTCCTTCGCGTTGCACACGACGTGCAACCGCGCGCGTTGTCCAGGAACACATACTTCACTCGGCATCCCCCCGAAGGCCTGGCAGCCTCTGCATCCAGCCGTCGCGGCCAGGCCACAGTACACAGATGGCCCCACAAGAACCCTGCGAGCAGCCTGGCAGAGGAGCTGATTCCACCTGACGCGCGCCTCCTCTGCAAAAAAAACACAGCGAGAAGCAGCAAAGGGCAGGGGTGCGCATGGGGGGACAGATCGAAGACCCCCCGCATGCAAAGCACGCGCTTACACCACCGAAGCAGGCCCCACACACAGGCGCCCGCTGCCTCGGCAGCCACTGTTCGGACGGGATGGATCCTTAGCGTAACAGGTGCGTATCTCCCTGGAAAGATGGACGGTGCGAGGCCAGCGATCTCCTAGGATTACGCCCACACAGCCCTCGAAGGTCTCAGAGCCACAGAGCACGCACGGCCTCCTAAGCCATCGGCAGTGATCGGCTGCCTCCGACGTTTTGACACGGGACATCGCGAAGAGTGAAGCCTCCACACCTGGCTGCGCCTGAGCCTACCAATGACGGTCGCACTCGGCCATGAACCAGATGGTGCGATCAGGGGTCCGACCCCTGCCATGACTCCCCCGCCGCCAAGGACAGGCCGCCCGAATCATGGAATTGGCGCCAAACCTCCAGCATTCCGCATGCAGATGGTGAGCATTCATGAAACCCCGTAGCTGCACAGAGCGGAATGACCACGGGTCCTTGACTACCGCAGCAAACCTGTCCGATCGGTGATGAGCGTCTGCCCAGCGGCCCCATATAGACTTCCCATCGGGCGCGCACCGCTCAACACTGGTGCTCCGCTGGAGATACCTCATCAACGCAGCAAATTTCGACTCTGTGATCCCGTCGTCTGGTGCTGGTTCCCACGTGGGCGGTTATGCGCGTCGGGGCCTCTGTCGCGCCCGTTCGTCACCCTGATCGACCGGCGCGCCCGCTGCTGGCGTTGCCCTCGGAACGCGCCGCCCTCGGCACGCGCCGCCTCTTGACCCCTTGCCCACAGGATTGACTCCCCGAGCTCAGTGTTGGCTTGTACCCAATCCCGGCCCTGACGCATTGCCAGCAGGGGTTTGGCCCTCACGGTTCCGCGCATCCTCAACGGTTGAGAATTCGAGCTCCTGCGTCTGCAGAGCGGCCCCAGGGGCCTCAGTGCCCCTTGTTAGCGGAACGGCGCAGTCTGGATGCCGATCGGCAGTGCGCGCGCGCGCCATGAGAGAACCGCGGCGCGCAGTCGACGGCCGCCCACCCCTGGTCTGCACGCAACTTAACGTCAAAGAAACGAAGCCAATAGCTGCGCCCCTTCCCTCGCGGGCCCAAGCCTGCGTTCGCGGCGAGCCCCTCGCCGACGCGGGCCGCCCAGCGGGCCCCGGCGGGGACGGGTCTGCCTCTCGCGCCGACGAGGTGGACCAAGGCGTCCGCGAGAGCTC